TGGGATGCCGTCTCCTCCTTTTGCGAAGCAGTCATGCTAGCTAAGGAGGAGGCGGGACGCGTGAGGCAGCGAAGCGCTGCCTCCTCGCAACCCAGCCATCGCGAAGGACACACCGGGCGTCGGGGATCGCGGGACGATCTCCGGCCACCGTAAGCGCGGGCCTGCGGACGGCGAGCATGGGTGGCTCCCCGTCCGACCAGAAACAGACCCGAGTGTACGGCGCGTCGCGTTCCGCGCGCGCCTCAAAGAGCCATCAGACCACCACAGATGGGGCCCAATAGGGCCGATGCCGATTCGGAGTCGCGGAGAACCTAACGGGTAACCGGGGCTCCGGCTCGACGTGCAGGAGAAGGAACGGGGTGGTTTTTAGTCAGTAAGAGTCTGACACTCCCTCCCGCCTCACCCAGGCGGGGGCAGTCATTCGATGATTTTCCCCCCTTAAAAAAAAAAAAAAAAAATACGTGTAAAATTGAATTACTTAGAAAACTGAACTTTTCGTAGTTATCGTAAAGATGATTCAGTACCCGCTTATTTTAAAAGTAAAAGTATTTAGTCTCATTTGTTTTCGAGAAGAAATCTAGACCATTTTATATTCCGATACATAAGTATTTTATTTTCACCGAACGACGTCGTTTAGGATAGAAACGAGGCAGAAATGAAAATAGAGCTGCTATTTTTACACACATTTATGATTAGGAGAATTTATACCTTCCATGTTGCATATAATTTGAGCATGTAAGCGCTAGTATTTTTAATAAAATTATTAATCACTCATATTCTACAAGAGAAATTTCATTGATTTGTTTTTTCAATAAAATATCGTCCATTCACGGCAACATCTACCTCTATAAAGGGTTGACTCATGTGCACGAATAAAGATGGTAGAACTTTAGTAATTTTAGGTAAAATATGACAATCAAACAAAAAAATAATAATTACAGTAAAGGCACAGCATGAAGATTCTATTGTGAGGTGACAAGACTGTGTGCTGGTGGAGACATGATTATTTATACCCGTTACCTTAGTGCTCGTACCGCGTCGTAACAAACCCAACTTCTCAGTTTAAGTCTCCGTTACAAATTCGCTGTACTGCCGTTTTCCAGCAAGAAGCGCGCAGTGTCTGGACATTTAAATAAAATTTAGTGTACTACCCTATACTAATACGGTAGTACAGTAACTAACTAGTACACGGGGACTACCCGTGTCTAACCGGGGTTAACACAAATCAAATCACTTTGATGCATCTATAGTGTGTAGAGAGGTGGTCTACATTTTTAATGTTTCATTCGAATTAGTCTCTGTCGGATACTGCAAAAGCACTTAAATGATACTTACAACAGGCAAGACTGTAACAGATGAAATTCGCAAAAGTAAAATTAGCCTCGGGGGAGGGTAAATCGCAGTAAGACCCATCTTGACCGTACTTCGGGATGGCTCTAGAAGATTATTTAATGTAAGAACAATCAATCAGGGGTTTTGAACTTTTGACTCCCGAGTTAGACACAACTTAATATTTTGTACTTCGATTGTTTTGACACATGAGTTTGGAATTCTTGTGGCGAACTATGGAAATAGGATCGCTTTAGGTCATTTTTTTTGCCAATCGTGTTCCATAATAATCATAACGTTACCTAAGTACTTACATGATTTATAATCTAGCGTGATTTCCAACATAACTATACAATAAATATTGATGATTCGAACTGTCCTCCTCTTTGCAACTGTTCCATTTGATCCATACTTCCAGGGACACCATGTACACCGGACACGGGAGTTTCGGTAGGTTCCTGTTTCGGATTGGGCGGGAGGAAACGCCCGAGTGTCATCACTGCGAGGATCGCCTGGAGGACACGGTGAAGCATACGGTGGCGGTGTGTCCTGCGTGGACTGAGCACCGCCGTGTCCTCAGGAATGTGATCGGCGACGGCGACCTCTCGCGTCCGGCTCTGGTTCAGACCATGTTACGGAGGGAGGGGGACTGGGATGCCGTCTCCTCCTTCTGCGAAGCAGTCATGCTAGCTAAGGAGGAGGCGGAGCGCGTGAGGGAACGAACCTCCTCACGACCCGGCCGTCGCGAGAGACACTCCGGGCGTCGGGGATCGCGAGACGATCTCCGGCCACCGTAAGCACGGGCCTGCGGACGGCGAGCACGGGTGACTCGCCGCCCGACCAGAACCAGGCCCGAGCGTACGGCGCGTCGCGTTCCGCGCGCGCCTCAAGGAGCCATCAGACCACCACAGATGGGGCCTAACAGGGCTGATGCCGATACGGAGCCGCGGAAGACTTAACGGGTTGCCGGGGCTCCGGCTCGAAGTGCAGGAGTAGGAACGGGGTGGTTTTTAGTCAGTAAGAGTCTGACACTCCCTCCCGCCTCACCCGGGCGGGAGAAGTCATTGGATGATTTTCCCCCCTCAAAAAAAAAAAAACAAGTGCACCAAGGAGGTGTTTAAATCATCCGAAAATGATAAAAGTTTTACCTAATTTATTTCAGTTATTATATATTTTTTTGTATTTTTTTTTCGGTTTTATCATCTCATATGGAAAGGTTAAAACATAAAACAGTAGATGTCGTATTGTCAGCTGACTGACTGCCAATTTCATCTTTATTAAAATATTTGACATCGGTTCTTCATACACCTTCCAAATATCCGGGACCCTGCGGTCCCGTAATGGATAGCATAACTAAAAATATTTGGTTATCTTGTTAGACGGCGAAACACTAAAAAAACCTCGCTTCTAGTGTCTATAAAACTAAAAAAAACACTAATATATAAGCTTGCTTAGATTTTATTTACAAAAATATTGTTAGGTACAAAATATTATTATAAGAAATATACATTTTCATATTGTCTCATTTGAATTCGTTGCAGTCATGTGGTCTTCAGGTAAATTAACTCAGTGACAGTCTTGAAATCAAACTCGACATGAGGCGTTCGAAGGCCAGTCGCAAATCTGTAAAAAAAAATAACATTACTTGATTGTTACAAAAAATATCTTAAAATTTTTGCTAAAAATTTCACATTCTTGTCCCGGTAAGTTATGTCTTGAAAGCAGAGTATTCTCATCGTAGGCATCATCCTGTTGCGCGGTTACGTTTAAAACATTCTAAATCCGCATAACAATTACGTCGAGATCAGAGACAACAATTTGCGAGTCACACTTCACACTAATAATTGTTCCGTTCGGGTATCGAACCCACGACATATTGCCCGGGAGCCGGTTGTAACCAGTGCAGGCGCATCAACTGAAGAAGTTAACGGAATATTTGTTTCAATCAATAACTTATAATTCCAAAATGGTCTCTAGTACTTCAGATGACATTACTTTGTCCTTCGAATATTTTCAAAATACGTAATCAAATGGAATTCTAGCTAACTACTCCGAGATGCTATCGGTGGCAATGTGTCACACTAAAAAGTGACCATGAATATGCAACTTACCTGTCTGAATTCGTTGAAATGTAAATTGGCAGGACAGCGTCTCAACACTCGACTTCCCCAGACACAATGGTAGAAGGCGGAACAATCAGTTGGGTGAGGCAGCAACCAGTGCATGCTTGGGTCTATAGGGCATCCATTGGGTAGACTAGGTGGTCGAGTTGTAAATACGGTGGAGGGGGTGACGGTGCTGGTGGAACGCGGAGTCGTAGTCGTAGTCGGAGTCGTAGTCGTAGTAGTCGAAGCAGTAGTTGAGGTAGTTGTCGAGCTCGTCGTTGTTGTCTGGGCAGGAATATTACGGTCCTCACAATCTACGTTTCGTGGCCAGTCACAACGCCATTCTTCCAGGTTGAACCAAAGGTCCGGTGGGCAACTCATTGCAACGGGTTTACCAAATGTACATTTATAAAATTTATCACAATCCTCGTGTCTCAGCAACAATTCAATTTCCCAATTAGTTTCCTGTTCTTTCGGGCATTCTTGTGATTGGGTCCACCCCACGGCCGCGCAAACGATGACCAATAATGCAATTATTCCTAAAAATAAAAATAATTTAAATCTAAATATGAAATAATAATAATAAATTTCAAAAATGCAATATGATAAATTTATGATTATAGTATGGAACACAGGTCACAGGATTAAAAAAATTACAGTCACGAACCTTTCATTGTGAGGTACAAATCCGACTGAATGCTCCAGCACCACGTCCAATTAGTTTTATACCTTCACTAAGATAGGAAACCATGTTCTTTTAATCTATAAGATGAGGAGATGATCAATTACTGCATTGCTTATCAACATTTACCAGTAGCAGACTATCGAAGCTGTGATATAAATTTATCACTTTCGAATTGATAAAGTACAATACAACTTCATACAACAAATTAGTAATTAGATACATGATAAGCAGTAAGTTTGGGTAGATACAGCGCGATTAGTATACTTTAGTTATTTTCATAGTGTCATTCGTGTCCTCATTTATTCGTTTGGGATAATCAATTGGACTAAAACAGACCTCAAAAACGTACAGCGCAAAATTAATACAACTATGACTAAGTTCCGTAAACACCACCCAAGATCATGCTTGCAAAGGTTAACGCTACCGCGGAAAGAGGGAGGCAGAAGACTTATAGATATTCTGAATCTTCACAACCGACAGATCACTACACTTAAGACATATTTTTTTGCTAAATCGGAATCTTCCACACTACACAAACCAATAACACAAATCGACAGACACTTTACTCCACTAAATCTTAATGACAAAACAGTACAGAGAAATGAAAAAGTTACTGATAACAAAACAAGATGCTTAGAATGGACCCAAAAGTCTCTACATGGAAGACACCGCCAAGATTTATGCCAATCAAATGTCGACAAAGAAGCGTCGAACGCATGGCTAAATCGAGGCGAAGTCTTCCCAGAGATTGAAGAGTTCATGATAGCTATACAAGATCAGGTTATAGAGACTAGAAATTATAGGAAACATATTATAAAAAACCTATCGAACGATACATGTAGAAAATGCAATAGTTCCCCAGAAACCATTCAACACATTACCGGTGCCTGCAAATCAATAGCCCAGACCGACTACAAACATAGACATGACCAAGTAGCCAATATGATACACCAAAAACTAGCCCAGCGATATAAATTGATACAATCTGCTGTATCATACTACAAATATAGTCCTGATATTGTTCTAGAAAATACCACATCTAAGCTTTATTTTGATCGAGCAATTTTGACCGACCGCACAATTGATTATAACAGACCTGACATCGCACTTATAGACAAAATAAATAATTCTGGATTTTTAATTGATATAGCTGTGCCCAACACTCATAACTTACAGACCAGTTTAGCAGAAAAACTGACCATTATACAGAATTAAGAGATGAGATAACCAGACTATGGCGATTGCAAAAAGTAACTATTGTCTCAATAGTTATATCAACCACGGGAGTAATCCCAAAACAACTTCACCAGTCCCTTAGTACTCTAAATCTACCAGCTAACACCTACCACCTTTTGCGAAATGACAGCTATTTTAAACACCTGCAGACTAGTAAGAAAGTTCCTTCAGTGCGAGTCGGACAATCCAACACAAGCCGCTTACAATCACAACCCAAACCCCGCTGATGAACACTTGGCCCGTGCCATCAGGATTCCCGGCTTGCCGGAGATACAAGAAAGTATATAAAAATAATAATTTAATAATACAAGTGAAACAAGTGAATCTATTTCTGCAAATAGGCTACAAGGCAGCACTTTTACACGTCAATTTAATCAAGCGAACGATGAGGTCGACATTTCCTAACTGACTAACTACTCTGAGAAGAAATGCCGAAACAAACTCAGAGGTCTGTCTATGTCTGTCTCTTTTAAAGTCCAGACAATATGTATAATAGATTATGTGTGAGAACCGTGCAAGTTCTTTCTGTATTGGCCTTTTGAGGAAAGAACCACAACAGTTTGAGCGGACCCGTTCTGACGGCAGTACGCATGTGTCGGTTTACAGTCAGCTCAATTAACAGGTGAGGCTGACTGATTCAACGAACAATACCAACCTAAAGAACATTTGCGTAGGTCGCACAAATACTCAAACTGTCAGAATATGGGTAATTAGAAAAGAAATGGTGAGGCAAAGTCTCGCACGGTCCTAGCACTAACAATTGTACAGGACAAAGCAAATGTCAAGTTTGAACAACATAATTATGAAAAACAATGTCAAGAAATGTAACTATATGTTACAAACATGTCAACATGACCTGTGTGGACGTTACAGCAGCTTATTCCCAAGCCAGACTATCATCTAGGTAGTCTTTAATTTTATAAAAAGCTTTACTATAAAATTTATCTTTAATGACATTTTTAAATTTATTTAGACTCAAATTTTGGATGTGGCTGGGAATTATATTGTAAAAGCGTATACTCTGACATCTAAACGAACCACTTATTTTCTTTAGTCTAGTAGTGGGAACAACATATTTGTCTTTATTTCTCGTGTTGATATTATGTATATCACTATGCTTTTTAAATAAACTTTTGTTTTTATGAGCATATACTACATTTTCATAAATGTATTGAGAGGCTACAGTCATTATATTAATTTCTTTAAATAGTTCCCTGAGAGAGTACCTCGGACTAAGATTTTAAATTGATCGAATGGCCCTCTTCTGCAGAACAAAGATAGATTGAATGTCAGCAGCATTTCCCCATAAGAGAATACCTACCATTTGACACTATGAAAATAACTAAAGTATACTAATCGCACTGTATCTACATCGGTTAACTTTCTAATTTTTTTAACGGCATATGCTGCAGAACTGAGCCTTTTCGATAACTTATCTATATGTGGAGCCCTCTGGAGCTTAGCGTCTAGGATTATACCTAAAAAGACAGTAGAATCTACAGGGTTCAACTCCTCACCCTTAATGAGCACGCTGGTTTTAACATGTCCAACATTTGGTGTTGTAAATTTAATGCATTTAGTTTTAGTTCCATTTAGTAGTAGGTTGTTGGCACTAAACCAGCGTACTACTTCCGAGAGAGCATTGTTCACATTATCAATGACTAATTGTCTACGTTTAAGTTTAAATAATAACGAAGTATCATCCGCAAACAGTACTATCCCGTGGTTATCCCTTATAAGGTAAGGTAAGTCATTTATATATATATGAAACAAAAAAGGGCCGAGAATTGACCCTTGCGGACCCCCATCCTGACAACGGACCCGGCGGAGACATTCCCATTTATCTCGACTCTCTGAATCCTGTTACTCAAGTATAAGGTAAGAAGATCCAAAGATTTACCTCTTATTCTATAATGGGATAGCTTCCTGATCAATGTATCATGAAGGACACAATCGAACGCCTTGGATAAGCCACAAAAAATGCCCAAAGCGTCGCTTGAGTCCTCCCAGGTGTCATATACGTGATTAAGAAGTTTAACAACGGCGTCAGTTGTTGAACGACCCCTGGTAAAACCAAACTGGTTACCATGTAACAATTTATTTCTATTAAAAAATCTTTGCAATCATGATTTAGAATATTTTTTTCAAAAATTTTACTAAATGTAAATAATACTGAAATAGGTCTAAAGTTAGTGAGGTCAAAAGTGATTTAAATAACGGAGTTATTTTACTATTTTTCATAAGATCAGGAAACACACCGCGGCCGATACAATTATTAAAAATTAGAGCTAATAGAGGTGCTATAATAGCTATAACAGAGCTGGTAATGTACACAGAATTACCCCACAAATCTGCAGTATTTTTCTTATTTAAACTGTCAAACACCAAGCGGTCACCGGTGACCGCAACCTATTGTTCTATAATTGTGTCTACAAAACCGGTACTCGACGAGTTAAGGTATGGAAGTTTTTGACAATATCTGTGTAATCTATGTGTTCAAAAGAGAACCCTTTGCTGCAAGCTATAACATTTTCCTTTAGTAAAGATTCTGCAACAGTGGGAGATGAATTCAATGACTTAGTCATGTATATAGGAATGTCAATCCTATATCCACGACTAAGTCATTGTAATCCTTTATTAGTTTTATACAAAAGAATACAATAAATATATAAACCCACCAAACTGCTATGACAGTTTGACGGTGGGAATAGCGCTCGATATTTATACCTAATCAAACAAAACTTCGGATCAAACTTGGCCTTTTCAAAAACGGAGTTAACTTACACTAACAAACAGAAACATAATTATGTGAAATTAAAAAGTAAATCATTTAAGTAACTAAAACTAAGCAAATTAACACTAACTAATTTTTTTGGCAATTTCGGTAAGTAACGTAGTCTTTGGTTTATATTTTAAGGATTAATTACTAATTATATTGTATAAGTGCCAATAAAATAAATCAATATCGTTGTACAACGTCGGAACCATGTACCCGTTGGTTCTTTTTCAATAGTAATATTTCATCGTTGGCCGGACTAACTTATTTTCTCTCACACGTCTTGTGTTTTTTTTTTTTGTTTGCTTTTTTTTTTTTGTGTTTGCTTGCAACTTTTTCTTTAATTTGTTCACTATAAAACTACTCAAGAATCAACAAGTACCTGGCCCAGTCGTGAACAGAAAGTATATTGCGAGGAATGTACAGTCCCTCATAGTTTTCTTTACATTTACGTCTAACTTTAGGTGACACTAGATACTTAAGGAAGCGGATTTGTAGGGTTTTAGTGCTGTCTAAATAAGTTTTAAAAGTGCAACCATAGACACTTAGTCCGTAATCTATTAACGATTCGAGTACAGCAAAATAAACTATACGTAATGTTTTTATACTTAAAGGCTCTTGTAGTGCATAGAACTTACACAAAACTGTTCTAAGCTTTATGCACACAGTGTCAACATGCGTCCGCCAGTTAGCGTTACTGTCCACCCACAGCCCCAGATTTTTTTTTTATTTTTTTATAATATTACAGATTAATTCTCCACGGACTCGAGGTCCGTGCCCTTGTCATACAATTTTTTTTATTATAATACATCTAGTCAATTTTTATAAAGTAAAGAGGGTACCTAGTTACACACTACAATTAACTACATGTATAATTATTATCAGCTCCAGATATTTAAATGTTTTAACATACTCTTTTTGACAAACGCAACCAATAATATTTGCATGCAAGCAATACATCTAAAAGTTTTCAACCCAAAAAACCCACGAAACCGGGAACTGTGCGTTAAAACCACTATCTATATATATCTATTTGATTGAAATGCGATACAGCATTGATTTGCAAACATAGAATAGTTTTTATCACTGAAACCTCACGAGACGGACACTGTACGGGTAAAACCTATGTGGGATTGTTTATTTTTGAAACCACGAAAATAAATTCATCTAATATATAAAATTCTCGTGTCACAGTTTTCGTTGCCATACTCCTCTGAAACGACTTGACCGATTTTGATGAAATTTTTTGTGCGTACCCGGTATCTATGAGAATCGGCCAACATCTATTTTTCATCCCCCTAAATATTAGGGGTAGTCCACTCCTAAATTTTTTAATTACTAGGAAATTATTTATATGGCAAAACAACGTTGGCCGGGTCAACTAGTTTTTCTATAAATATAACCTAAGTACTGATTCGACTGTGATGATATTTTTTACAGTCGTACAGCCGTAAAATATAACTTGGCAAAGACTAATTCAAAAACCCAATTTATACAGAAGTCGCTATTTCACGCGGACGAAGTCACGGGTAACAGCTAGTGCGTTATAAAAGGCACCGGAAATGTCCAGAAAAATGCCTAGGTACTATATATTTGTGTTCAGACGAATTTCCTATGGATCGGACAGAGAGAGCCGCGTCGACAATAGACTTCCCTACAGTGAAACCAAATTGATTATTGTGGAATTTTGGTAAACGAGGAACGATAAGTCGCTCAAGCAGTTTCCCTAAAGATGGTAAAAGCGTGATAGGCCGGTATGACCCTAGTCATGGGGGGGTTTGTTTCCATTCTTGGGGATT